CATATATGGTACATGGTCTAAGCAGTGAAAGTACCTCAGCCTACCATGAGCTGAAAGTGTTTAAAGCACTAGATCAGGGGTCCCCAAAGTACGGCCTGCGGGCTGGACCCAGCCTGTCGAGGCCTTCCTACTGGCCCGCAACCGGTCCTGCCGCCGCCGCTGCCACCTCCACACACACACGCTGCCGGGCACCATTTTGTCTTCCAAAATGACATCCGGAGTCATGCGCCTGTGACCAGCATCGCACGTGCATGCGCATGACTCCCTGGAGCCATTTTGGAAGACAAAATGGCATCTGGTGACACGTGCATGCACACGCAACTCCGGGCACATGCGCATGACTCCGGGCGCCATGTTGGAAAACAAAATGGCACCCCGCGTCGCGCAACTCGGGGCCATTTTGTTTCCCAACATGGCGCCCGAGTCATGCGCATGCGTGCATGATGCCAGGTGCATGCGCACAACTCCGGACAGCATTTTGGAAAACAAAACGGTGCCCGAGTTGTGCAGATGCGCGTGTGCAAATGCGCACGCGCGCCTCCGGCCCCCTGGAGATCTGAGGGCCAGCGAACCGGCCCCCAGATCAAAAAGTTGGGGACCCCTGCACTACATTTTCATTCAAAAAGAGAGTAAGCACATCACATTGTTTGGGAGTTTGCTGTTATGATCATTATGAATAGATCTCTTGATCTGGTTTTGCCTTGCAATGATGGCAAACACTGTAATTGCCCAGCCCTGTTTCAAATACTCCTCTTACATATAAACACACACAAAGAGAGAGAGAGACAGATAGATAGACATTCATTTGGGAGACATCCTCCCTTAAAGTAATATATCTTCAATCCCATGGGAGGGGGTGGAATGTGTGGATTTTATGTTCTTATTTAAATAATAATAATAATAATAATAATAATAATAATAATAATAATAATAATAATAATAATAATAATAATAGAAATACAATTCTCAGCCACTTACATCAACCAAATTCAATAGAAACTGTAATTCCTAGCATAGAGATGATATTGACCTTGCTTTCCACTGAGTTCTTACAGATGAGGAATTTGTGGAAGAAAAAAAGATTGTCTTATTTTTTAAATCAAACAGAGTTAAATACACTGGAAGTTCAAAGCCAAACATTCAGAAAGAAAGCATTTGTGAAAAGTAGTTGAATTTGTGCTAATTTAAAAGCATTCTTCATTAACCAACACACATATACAGTTGCTTCTTTAACATTTACACATAAGATTAACTCATGTAATTGTTAATTATGTTTGTTAATAAAAAATAAAAATTTTAAATTTTAAAAAGGAACTGCATCAGTTCACAGTCACAGCCGTTCATAGCACTCATGTCTCTATCCTTTGCTGTTGGCACAGATCCACTACATGTTTGCTCCATTTGCCTTGCCCTAGCTGTCCTTCACTTTTCTTCACCCTCCTCGGAGGACGAACAGTGATCTCTCCCCCCCTCTAGCTCTTGCTGTCTGGCCGCTTGTTTGCATTTGTTGTTTTTATTGTATTTTATTGCCATATTGTCATTGTTTTAATATAATTTAAGTTTAATCCTGTTTTAAGGGGTGTGGGAGGGAAGTGGGAGGAGGGATTGGGATTTGGATCGTTTTAACTGTTGTATTTTAATTGTTGTACGCCGCCCCGATTGCGACGCAGAGGGGCGGGTTAGAAATAAAACTTATTATTATTATTATTATTTTCTATTTCCCTCATCATCTTTTCTTTAATTAGGCAGTGGTATGAAGCATCATAATTTTGATGTGTAAAAAATATGCCTGAAGTATTCAGATTCAAGGCCATCACAAATTAAAGAGGAGGAAAAAAGTGATTCAGGATTCAATTTCTGGGAAACGTAGAAATCTTTGAGATATGATCCTTTAAATTCTTGTGATTCTTATTATTCTTCCTCCTATGGGGTCTTTCAGCTGTGAATGGGAGGGGGGAAATCTGACTTCCAAAAGGAAAGCCATGCATGTAATTTTCATTTGTACTTTTGAATACGTATGAGATAAAAAGAGTGAGGCAACAGGAATCAAGGAGTGATTCAGAAGATGGCTTGATTTGGCTTGGTCCAATTTATGTGTTGACCCAGGTTCAAAAAAGTTGGAAATCCAAAAGCATTCATTTCCATGAATGTAACAGAAAATCCAGAAACAGCTGTAACTTCTTGGCTGTTTTGCAAAATGTTATTACATTAGCTGGTTTTGCAGACCCTAAAAAGGCAAGGAGTGCAACTGTAGCTGAGAGAATCTGGGGTTCACATTTCAAATGAATATGTGCAAAGATTTTTGCACAAGAGCAGCCTTTACATTCCAAGGCTAAAAGGTATACACTTCCCTGTAGATTACTTCTGGATCATTGTTATGATAACAGACTACATGGAGGTTGCTCTGAGAAATCTGAAAAGCTTCAGAAGGATAAATGTAGCCATTTGTATGCAGAGAAGTCCTTAAATTTGAGTGGATGGCAAAAGTGATTTGCTTCCCTTTCCTCTACTGAGCTTTTGGAGGAATGTGTTATGAAAATAGAACAATACTTTTTTTAATTATTTCAATAATTTAGTATTCTTTGCACTCTGTATTGGCATCTTCTGATGTAGAGAAAGCTAGAAATATTGTAATAACTTTTAAAAAAACATAAATGTGTCCATAGGTAAGAAGCCTATAAAGTTTTACCACTATAGGTGCAGCAGTTATGAAGTTATGATGGTTGAAAAGGGCTTTTAAAATAGTGAGCTGTAGGTATGTACATCTATAAAATGCAAAACTAGCCTGTCCTACCTAATTATCATAGGTATATTTCTAGGTAATTATCATAGAACTATATCACTATATAGTTCCAGAGTGACAGTCTGGGAGGAGTTAATTAACAAATTTTGCATTGCTTTAATTAAGTTATTTGTGATGGAAAATTTTTGCATTCTCTTTCCCCCTCCTTAGATAGATGGGGATTTCCTGCATGCAAACTCTCCTCTCTCACACACATACACTCTCTTTCAAAGTAGTCATGTGATTTAAGTCACTCCCCCTTTGAGAATAAGACATTTTCTCTCAAAGATTTTCAGCTGAACTGGATGTTTTCCATCTTCCTCCTCTCTCAACTTTATTTGGAAAGATGGCAAGATAAAGATTTCTTTTTACCTGAACTATTCACTAGCTAGATTAGGATATATATTTATGTATATATAAATTAAAGCCATTAATAAACTTTTGTTTGAATTACAAGCTATTTGTGTTGTTTTTTGAGTCAGTCAGACAAAGACTGTGCTAATTTACAAAGGAAAAATTACTGTGTTAATTTAAAGCTAGACCCTAACAGGCTTGGCTTTGACACTTTTGATATTTTATATTTTTTTTGTTTCCTTATCAAAGGCTGTTTCCTTAGTACACTTAAATTACCCTACAATTTGAACTAGGAATCACACAAATGAATGAAGGCTTATAGCTCAAAGCGGACTAACACCAATTGAAGAAAACAATAACCACATGTGATGGTCTTCTTAAGGTGCTGAAGTCCATCTTAAGAGCAATGGAGACTCAAAAATACATTAATTTGTTGGCCTGGTAGAAGAACAGCCAGAGAATTAAAATGAAAAAAATATATATTGTATAATTGTATATGATAAAAGCAGCAAGATTTTCACAAGAAGATTGGTTGTTAAAACTATATGATTTAGCAGAAATTGATAAATTGACAAATTTAATCAGAGATAAGACAATAGATGGTTTTAAGGAAGTATGGAAACCAGTCATTAAATACATGAGAAAAAATTGGAGGAAGTTGGTAGTTTTAGGTTTTGAAGAATAGTAAACTCAAATATTATGTAGAAGTGTTGATGATAAATAACATAATACACTGGTGTGAGGTATTTTATTTTGGCTTAGGCACAAAACAGATGGGCCAAAAGGAGCAGCTTCCAACTGTTTTGGGGGCATGCTGTGCAGATGACGCAGGTCCCCAACGTGGCCAGAAGCCACTCTGAGGCTGACTTTATCATTTTACCTTCATGTTGATTTATATTATGAAATTTATCTATTAATTTAAAAAAATCAAAAAAAGAATATTGGTAATTTTATGAGACTCACACTCTATGCCATCCACAAATCACAGTGGTATGGTGATAGTTTACCCATAGTAAACTACATATGGATAGAAATTAGATTTCATTCAATAATCGCTCAGCTTCATTTTCTTCATCATCTATTTCCTCTTGCTCATCATCAGTGATTTCAAACAAATGAAATCTAAAAATGCTATTTTCCCAGACATTCTGTCTGCTTTTTCTGAAACTCAAGTGAAGTTTCTTCTGGGGCCCAGCAATGGCCTTGGTCTTCAGATGAAACCTGTGTAACCTTGGAAAGCACCAGAAATGGTCTGATGGGCCCAATTCAGTTCAAATGTGCACAAAGCCAGTGAACATTATAGATGTATGTCTGTATAAACTCCTTGGACAGCTGCGAGTCTGATATCAAGCTCTAGTTCTGTATATGGCCAGTTCAAGCTGCTTGCTTGTTTTGTTGCAATTCTGTTCTCATCTGTATTTGATTGCTAACACCAGGGCACTAGTTTTTGTGTAGGTTTAGAGCATTCAGAATCTGAAGATAAATGATACAACTATAAAGGATGCTGATAGCCATGCTGTGTTAGTGAATCAGCTCACCATTTTTCTTGTTAGTGATATCTACCAGCTTTACAAGACTACGATATCCCTTGGGAACACACTTCCTTAGTACTTCACTGTGTTTTAGTTTAACACTCTTGTGAAAACAGAATTTTCTGGAGTCATGAAATATTGCCTAATCACCAATTCTCATGCATGTCTTCCGCTTACCCTTTTTTCTGCTGCCTTTCATAGTGTGTCTGCAAAACCCAATGGATGTTGCTGAGTACGTATTGTCTTAAATAGACAGCTAGAACTTGATAAGGAATATCATTAAATCTGTTTTGCTAACAATGATTTATGCTGAAATGAAACCAGTAAAAACAGCCAGTGTGGTGTAGTGGTTTGAGCAATGGACTACAGCTTCGGAGATCAGAGTTCGACTCACACCTTGGCCATGGAAACCTATTGGTTGACCCTGAGTAAATCACACTCTCTCAGTTTTAGAGGAAGGCAAAGGTAAACCCCCTCTGCACAAATCTTGCCAAGGAAACCCCATGGTAGGGTCACCTTAGGGTCCCCATAAGTCAGAAATGACTTGAAGGCACAAAACAACAATAAAAATTGGTTTTGTAGATATTTAAACATCAGAGTTGCATGTTGGCAGAGAAATAAAAGGAACAGTAGTGCTGAAATGCTTCTGATCTATGTTGGATAAAACAAGGGGTAAGGCTAATGGAAACCTCCCCTCTCCCTTTTGTTAACCACCATGATATGGAGTTAATTTACTGATGAGGGAAAGAAACTGGGAAGAAGGTTTAAGCCTCCACACCTGACCATGGAGGGCTTGATCTAGATTGATCGATACGTTCTTTAGAATAAACTACAAAGACGTCTTTAGCAACCCCTAATGTGATTCCATAGTGTGATTGCACCAACCTATTGTCACCTTTGCAAATTCCCCTCCTCTCTCTGCTTTATTTTGAAAATACTTGCAAAGAGAAGGATTTGAAGGAAAAGATGTAATAACTGATATTTTTGAAAGCTTATCTGTGGGTGTGTAATTAAACAAGAAAGCTGGCAATGAAAGAAATTCCTAAAGCAGTGTGCTGTCTAATCGTTCTTACATAATAAAAAAGCTGAAAACTGAAATAGAAAAGTGTTTCAATGCAAAGCTAGTGACTAGTTTCCTTTTCCTTTTTCTTGTACAATACATCTAATGACAGCAATGTCATTACAAAGGAAAGTCATTTCTGACCAAGATAATTGTTCTAAATGACTGATTACATGCCCTTATCAGCATGATAACTCTTTGACTGAATGCATGGTGCATACAATTACCTCTCCTTTTGTGTGTGTGGCATTTTCCCCACTGAATCCTTTCTTAAGAGCTTTAAAAATATGAATGTTTGGGCTACTGAAGAAATTTGCTAGCTTTCAGTGATGATGTTTGGGTGGAAAAAGTGATGGCAAACAATGTGACACTGTGCAACTTTGGAATGCTTCCAAGCTGATTACAAATATATATATATGGGGAAATCAACACATTATGGACAGCATCCTGTTAATGACTAATGGGCAAATAAGTTCAGCTTATGTAAACATACATCCCTTTTTGGATGTGCAAAGGATTCTTCTGAAGATCTGGCTGCTCTGAGCTCCTGAGGGAAGAAAAAGGCAGTGCACCCTCATCCCCCCCCCCCACCCTGTATTTGGCCAAGCTGAAACCACCAGCTTCTCTATAGTCTGAATCATATCACTTTCCCTCCTTTCCCCACCAATGGGTGAGAGCAGAAGGTCCCTCCCATTGCTAACAGCTGATGGACAGTGGTAGTACACAGAACTGTGCGTTTGCATATTTAGGATTTCAGTGTGTGTGTGTGTGTGTGTGTGTGTGTGTGTACAGAATGTCCCAATGTAGAGTGTACCTTTGCAGCTATCCTGTCAGGCTATCATCTGTATTTCTTCCATTCTACCACCATCACTTCACTTTTCCATTCCATTCCCTAGAACAGTAAATCAGTGTCCTGTGCCAACTGAACATGTAACAGCTGCATTGTAGAGAGGCTGAGGCACTGTGATCCAGTTGTATTTTACAGAGAGGCAGGATACAGATTATTATTATTATTATTATTATTATTATTATTATTATTAGAGCAAAGATGGGCAATTTCAGTGGGTTGGGGGCAGGAAATGTTGTGTTCTCTAGATCCCATCAAGGCAATGTTGTGTTTTCTAGATCCTGCCAAGCACTACAAAAGTTCAGTACTGCACCATTAACTGAGAATAGGGTTGTTGTTTTTTCCGCATCCCCACTTCCAAAAACACTTGGTTTGTGCAAAAATGAGATGTGAGAAGAACATGCATCAAGTTTTGGAGAAGAATCATATTTCATGGAGGTTTTTGGAAGCACAGTTCTTATCTGAAACATGTGTTATACTGCCATATGCTTTGTTTTAGCATGGAAATGCCATTTTGTAAACTGTCACAGCAGCAAAGGCTCCCAGGACCACAAAAACTGCCAGAATAGGAATATAAGCCTATATGTTGCCTGACTTATGGGGTTTTCCCTACATATTTTTTTACTTTTGCAAACTTTTGGACTCCCAAGCTGTTGGATATGAGGGTCTTTTAGATACATAAGGGTTTGCACTTGGACATCCACACACACATGTACCTGTATATGAAAGCAAGTAAGAAAATGGTTTTGCTTGATCATAAGCCATTAAAAATAGTAAACAAAAGTCAATCAAGCAGTACTTGCCATATCATGCAGCCCATGTTTCCATGTATCTCCAGAGTCTCTCTCTGCTCACTGCTATCAAATGTTCTATAGTGGCAAATCCCAGAAAGTGGTCGCCCTGTTTTCAAGGCAAATCACACATCCAGAAGTCTCCAAGAAGAATAATTTAGCTTAAAACTAAGCTGCACACTTCTCCCACGTGCCAGGTTTTAAAAGTGCAGGGACAGAAATTTTACCAGTGAAACTGAAGGATAGCACACAGCCCTCAGTAAGCGGTTCCTCTAAGACCTTATCCATCCTGCAGAACAATCCTTTTAAATATGGATTCTATTCATATTTAATTCTATTCATATTCTATTCATAAGTTCTATTCTATTCTATTCATATTCTATTCTATTCTATTCTATTCATAAGTTTTCTATTCTATTCTATTCTATTCTATTCTATTCTATTCTATTCTATTCATATTCTATTCATAAGTTACTTTTGTGAAAAGTTGTATTCAGCAATATCACTCATTTAGGAATTTTCTAGTTTATGGCAAGTCTGGCAGGTGACAGAACTGTTTTTTGCCCCTATTTTTGTTTTGGTTTTTTTTTCCACTGTATCTAAAGGGAGGAAAGGCATATACATAATTCCTCTGCTTTGAGTTGTTTGAAAGAATTCCCACAATAGTGAGAGAGATGTTCTATGAATTGTCTTGTGTTGCCAGACACACTTTCTTTTCAGACAGATTTTGGTCTTTGTTCATTCACTCCTTCATTGTTGCTGTTTCCCCCCATTATCTGCATAACAGATAATACAACATAAAATCTGTAGTATTTTGCTTTTTTGGGGGGAGGGGGATTATTCACTGGAACTATGTGTAAAAACATTTTTTTAAAAAATCCATAGGAATTTATCCCAATGTAAAATGTAATCTCTAGTTTCAAAAATTATCCCAGGTGTCATAAGGGAGCAGTTCGGAAAGAGTCCAGTGTCATATGGCTTCAGGTCATGCCATAGGGTGGGACAGACAACTGAAGCAGGCCAGTTTTCTGCCCAGGACCATCTGGGAAAACTGCACAGATTGTCAAAGCATCCCATTTTAAAAGAAAACTTGCTTTAATACCAGCAACTAATGATCAGATTGTGAAATTAATACCCATGGCTGAATTAGACAAATTAACATGTCTTTTGAAGTGAAAAGTTTGGTTCAATTTGTAAATGATTGGGAATATATTTTGAGGTATATATTTAAGCAATATTTGGGGTGGGCTTGCTAATGTTGGCTTTATAGACTAAGGATGTGAAAGTGTTTTGTGTGTGTGTGTGTAGCAGATATAGAAAAGTCTTTAATTAAGGAAGGAATCAAGTTAAAACTGTGACAACAGACAGTAAGATTGTATGTCTGTATAACCAAGTCCTGCTAGGTTGGAAGTCAAGGTTGTGAGAAAGAGAATTGTGAATGTAATATGAATGTGATTGAGACTGACTTCTGTATTGTTTTATGTGTTTGGAAAGAAAGGAAAGAAAAGAAAAAAAGGAAAGAAAGAAAAAAAATTGAAAAAATTGTATTTTTGATGTTAAATTACTAGGAGAAACAAATTACTTCTTGAGTGGAAGGGCTAGAAGAAAAATAGTCTCTGTGTGTGTGTGTGTGTGTGTGTTTCAAGGCAGGACCAGAAAACCAGACTAGACTGCATTTTGGCTTCTCATACTAATTTGCCTGCTACTAATTTGTCACAATTAATCACAGGTCCATTGTTTGTTTGTTTGTGGCTTTTTAGTGGTCAGGGAACTTTCCCATGTGCAAAGGACTGGGGGGAAGAGGCAAGCACATTGGCACAGGAAATATATGCCTATAAAGATTCATGAATAGTGGACTTCAGGTAGGACGCTGACTTCTGTTTCCTACTGGAAGTGCTTTTTATGCTTGCTGTCACCTATGATGCTTGGGACAAGGTGTCTCAATCACAAGGCATCTCAATTACATAAGACAACTTTTGGCATCCCAGCAGATTTGCACTTCGGCTCCTGGGAGTTCCAGCCATCCTGGTCAATGGTAGGAGGTCAGGGGAGTTGTAGAATAACAAATCTGGAGAGGCAAAGATGCTCCATACCTGCCATATATATAGGAAGAGATTCCACTGACCTCCCTCTTACATATTTCCTAGATGTGTTGTCCTTGTATCAAGAAAACACTTACTTGATGATTAATCTGTACCATGGTGGAGAGAAAAACTGAAATAATAAAATCTGTCTTCTCACTTAGTGTACAAATTATCTAAATAATACATAATAATTCATCCATGTGTCGGTGATAATAACAATTGGCCTCTTTAAAAGAGCAATTTCACAGTATTATAAACACTCACAACAACAACAAAGGGGTTTATACCTAACGTGACTAGAAGAAAAAGAAAAAGGGGGGAGTTAGGTATACACAATCTGTATGGATAATATCCAGAGTATTTATCTGCTATTTAAATATCACAAAACAAAATCAAGTAGCATAAAAATTACAACCGCCATAAAAGAAACATTCAATACATAAAATAAGGACTGTGGTCCTGTGATCTTTAAGAAATGATATTCAGTAGCTGTAATTATAAAAGTCATTGAAGAACCAAGCTTGTATCCAGAGACTTGACTTTGGATATCATCCATACAGATTGTGTTAGGGCCTTTTCAGACCACAGCCTCAATCCATGGCTAGCAGGGGTGGCCCAGAG